ACGACAGCACGGGAGGTGCACTATTGCCCCCCCCAAAACCGGACTCCCAGGATCTGGGGCTTTGGGACCCTCCGGACGGGCATCGAAGCGGCCCCCTGGACCTCGCAGGGCGTTTTGCCAAGCCTTCCCAGCACACTTAGGGCGATCAGGGGGGTCATCGGAGACGTCCCAGAGAGCCCCATGACAGCACAAGAGCGCACCAAGAGTGACCGACGTGACCTCAAGATGGCCCAAGAGGCCTCGAGGACAGCCCCAAATATGCTTCCCAGAGCACTCCCAAGAAGGCCCCAAGAGGCACAAATCATTGATTTTCCGCTGTTTTTTTGTGAATTTGGGGGTTTTCCTTTTTTCGGCTTCCCGACGTTCCAAGACGGCGATCTTCCGGGCGTCCGAAGCCGCCTGGGAGGCTCCAAAAACGCCCCACAACCATCCGAAAGGGCTTCCAGGCAGTCCGAGAGAGCCCCAAAACGGCACAACAGAAAACCCTATGCCGGCCCAAGATGGCCCCAAGACACCCTCCGAAGCATTCCAAATCGTGACCCGGTCGTTCAGAGAGACCGCGGTTGGAGGCAGGGTGGCCCGAGGAAGCCCCCAGAGGCCCCCAGAACACGCACAGGAGGCCTTTGGAAAGCCTGAAACAACTTTTGTGAGGCCCCCAGAGGCTCTCTAAGGAGGAGCCTCCGCAAAAAAAAGCTGAGGAGGATAGGGGAGAATGCGCAGGACATGGCGAAAATGAGGAAGAATAATCATGGAGGAAGGAAAACGAAAAACATGATTATAGCGGCGATGCCGGAACAAACAACAAGGAGTTATCGCTACATTGGCGGCTTGTCCTTCTTGTTATTCCGCCTGCATACCAAATTTTAAGGAACCGCCGCTGCAGTCTTGTGTATATATATATATATATATATATATTCTCATACGCACTTCTCCGAGGGAGTAGAGCTCAGAGACCATTAATGTGTACGCGGGGCGCCGCGTCCGCGATTGTTCTGGCCGTTTCGCTAGGGACATCCTCGAAAATCTGAAAATCGGTTGCACCCCTCACGCAGATCGTGACGTCAGGGTCCAAAAACACATGGACAACAGTTTAACATAAACCCTTCAAAAACACATGGTAATTCCATTAATTTTGACCCCGACTCTCAGAGAATGGCGGTTTCGCCTGAAACATCCTCCCAAAATCGAGCCCCGACGTACCCTCTGGTACCCCAGACCCCGCCTCGGAGCCTCCTGGGGGCCTCGTGGAACCTCCTGGGGTCTCCTCGGGCTTCCTGAACCTTCTGGCACCCCAGACCCCGCCTCGAAGCCTCCTGGGGGTCTCCTGAAACCTCCTGGGGCCTCCTGCGGCCTCTTGGAGCCTCTTGGGGCCTCCTGATACATTCTGTGGTCTCCTGGGGCCTCCTGAGGCCGCCTGGGGCCTCCTGGGGCCTCAGAACTACATGCACACACAGAGACACAAATCACGCCCAACATATCACACGCTAGACAAACATAACACACAACACCTACAACGCACAGAAAGCACGCACAACACAGCACACATCACACACACAGACACACACACACACACTCACTCACACACACACAACACTCACAATCCTGGTGCCTCCTGGAGCCTCTTCTGGTATCCAAGTCGGGCCTCCTGAGGCTTCCTGGGGGGCCCTGGTACACACATCGCAAGGTGTGGCAACCCCACTTGCGCTCGAGTGCGACTTCGCTGTTGCATTTCACTCCTGCTTCAAACGCCCCTTCAGTTTTTTGTATGAGCCTGGGCACACACCTGCCACTTGTGTATATATATATATATATATATATTGGTGTTGCATATATATATATATATATAGATGTATGGCGCACCCTGGCACCAGGAACCGGGAACACGGGAACTCAGCCGCCCGCCGCGAAACCAATCCGGAACCCAGACGCGGGAACCTGGAGCCCAGAACCGAGAACCCAGCCACCCGCCGAGACCACTCCGGGAACCGGAACCCGAAATCCACAACCGGGAACTTGGGCGCCTGGCCGCCTACCCTCCTCCTCCCCCTCCTCCCCCTCCTCCTCGCCCTCCTCCTTCCCCTCCTCCCTCTCCTCATTCCTCCTCAATTTTCGCCAAGCCCAGTCCGGAGACCAGAAGCGGGAAGCCCAAACCCAGAACATGGAACCCGGAAGCACGGCCGCCCACCGAGATCGGCGGCGAATGTTGTGCCAAGTCCTGCAATATCCGCTAGGATCCCATACAGTGCAAGCGCTGGTTGGGGAACATCGATATACACATATACCAACGTGTTGTCTACGCATGCATGCATGTATGCATGGTTGTATGTATGTATGTATGGATATGTGCTTGTATGTACGTATGCAGTCACGTATGTGTGTAAGTATGTACGCATGTATGCATATATGTATGTATGCATGCATGTATGCATATATATATATATAAACATATATGTGTGTATGTGTGTTTGTATGTATGCATGCATGCATGCATAAATGTAGATATGGGTTGTACGTGTGCAGGTATGTATGCATGCACGCATGCATGCATGTATGTATGGATGTATGTGTGTACGTATGCATGTATGTATATGTGTATGTGTAAGTACGTATATGTGTATGTATGCTTGTGTATGTATGTATGCAGGTATGTATGCACGCATGCATGCATGCATGTATGTATGTATGGATGCATGAATGTATGCATGAATGTGAGCATGTACGTATGTATGTATGGATGCGTGTGTGTATGTATGTATGTGTGTATGCATCGATGCATATACCTGTATGTATGTGTGCATGTGTGTATGTATGCCTGTATGCATGTATGTATGTATGTGTGTATGCATGCAAGCATGTATGTATGTATGTATGCCTGTACATGTATATGTATGTATGTATGTATGTATGTATGTATGTATGTAAGTATGTATGCATGCGTGCATGTATGTATGTATGTATGTATGTATGTACATGCGTACGCGCGTACGCGTATATGTATATATATAGTTCTGCATGTAGGCGTGCATGCATGCATGTATGCATATCTTTATTTCTGTGTGTAGAGATGTATGTATATGTGTATGCATGCATGTATGTGTGCATGTATGTATGTGTGTATGCATGTATGTATGTATGATTGTATGTGTGGATGTGTGTACGTATGGATGCAGAGTTGTATGTATTTATGTATGTATGTATGAATGTATGTATACATACATGCACGTGCTTAAGTATGTACGTATGTGTGTATGGTTGCACAAATGTATGATTGCATGTATGGATGCATGCATGTATGTATGCATGCATGCATGTGTGCATGCAATGTATTGAGACGTATTGCAATGCAATGTAATGTAATGCATTGTAATGCAATGCATGCATGTATGCATGTATATATGCATGCATACATGCATGCATGCATGCATGCATGCATGCATGTATGTATGTATGTATGTATGTATGTATGTATGTATGTATGTATGTGTGTATGCATGTATGCATGTGTGTACGCATGCACCTCTATTGATGTATTTAACACATGCTTTTGATGAATTAGTTTTGTTGTGAGCAGCAGTGGCGAGCGCAGGAAGGGGGAAGGGAAGGAGGAGTGGGGAGGGGGGATCGGTCGGGTAGGAGGGGGATGACGAGGCGGGGGAGGGAGGGCGAGGACAAGGTGGGAGGCGCAAGGAACGGGGGGGGAGGTAGGGGAGTCTAATATGATGACGATGAGTGGGAGGAGGGGGAGGAGAAGGAGGAGGAGGAGGAGGAGGAGGAGGAGGAGGGGAAGACGAGGAGGAGGAGGGGAGGAGAGGAGGAGCAGGAGGAGGACCAGGAGAGAGGACGGGGAGGAGGAGGAAGAGGAGGAAGAGGAGGAGGAGGAGGACGACGAAGAGAAATGAGAAGAATTGTATAAGAGGACAGGGGGGATAGGGGGGAGAGGATGAGAGGGAGGTCATGATGACGATGGATAGGAGGAGGAGGAGGGAGAACGAGGGGGAGGAGAAGGAGGGAGAAGGAGGAGGAAGGGTAGGAGGAGGAGGAGGAGGTGGAGGAGGCTCGGGCTCCCCCGGCTCGGGCTGGGGCTCCCCCGGCTCCCCCGCACTGCAACAGCTCCCCCGGCTCGGGCTGGGGTTTCCTGGAGGCGGCCACGAGGAGGAGGAGGAGGAGGAAGAGGAAGAGGATGAGGAGGAGGAGGAGGTGTTGGATGAGAGGACGGGGAGGACAAGAGGGGAGGATGTGAGGGAGGTCATGATGATGATGATGATGATGATGATGATGATGATGATGATGATGATGATGATGATGATGATGATGATGATGATGATGGTGATGGTGATGATGCTGATGATGATGATGATGATGATGATGATGATGGTGATGGTGATGGTGATGGTGATGGTGATGATGATGATGATGATGGATGGTGATGGTGATGGTGATGGTGATGTGATGGTGATGAGGATGAGGGTGAGGATGAGGATGAGATGAGGATGGATGATGATGATGATGATGATGATGATGAGATGATGATGATGATGATGATGATGATGATGATGATGGATGATGATGACGATGATGATGGTGGTGGTGGTGGTGATGATGATGATGATGATGATGATGATGATGATGATGATGATGATGATGATGATGAGAAGGAGGAGGAGGAGGAGGAGGAGTTGGATGAGGACGGGGAGGATAAAGAAGGGAGGATGGGAGGGATGTCAGAATGATGATGGGGAGGACGAGGAGGAGGAGGAAGAGGAGGAGGAGGAGGAGGAGGAGGAGGAGTTGAAAGAGGAGGAGTTGGAGGAGGAGGAGGAGGAGGAGGAAGAGGTGGGGAGGAGGAGGAGGAGGAGGAGGAGGAGGACGAACATATGGACTTGGAGTTGGAGATGGATGATGATGAGGAGGAGGGTGAGATGGATGACGTGGTGCTTACGCTGTTGCTCATGTTGAGGGAGGGGGAGGGGAGCTCCACCTCCCGAAAGAGCACCGGTCAGGCGCAGACCCTATGGTTCCGCATCCTGGAGTCCCAGATGGAGACAGGCCCGCTACCGGGGCACTCATTCTGCCGCCGCCGCTCCTCATCCCCCCTCGTCCTCGTCCTTCTCGTCGTCGTCCCGCCTCCCTCGTCCCCCTAGTCCCCCTCATCCCCCTCGTCCTCCTGGTCCTTGCCTCGTCCTCCTCGTCTCCCTCTCCGCTGTCGATCCTGCCCCGCCTCGTCCTCCTCGTCGTCCCACCTCCGCTCCCGCCGCCCCCGCTCTTGCCGCCGCCGCTGCTGCTGCTCCTCCTGCCTCTGGCGCGCGCGGGCTCTGCGAGCCCCGTCGGTCTAGCGCTCGCGCGCGAGACCGACGGGGCTCGCAGAGCCCCTTGGCATCGTTCGGGCGTGTGCCTTTCTTCGGCGGGGGCCATCGAGGAGGAGGAGGAGGAGGAGGAGGAGGGGGAGGAGGAGGAGGGGGAGGAGGAGGAGGAGGAGGAGGAGGAGGAGGAGGGAGGAGGAGGAGGAGGAGGAGGAGGAGGAGGAGGAGGTGGTGGTGGCATCAGATAAGGATCCCTTAGGTAAGGAGTCAAGGGTCTGCAAGCCAGTGGATTGGATCATCCGGCGAGGGAAAAAGCCCACGAAGCCGACAAACGCACAGGGAGTGGAAGCCCGAGCGATGGCACGGCCCCCGAGGCCCTGCAGCCCAAGCGGGCCTCGCCGAGCCCCTCCGCGCCGCTCCAACGCCGCTCCGCGCCGGCACGCGCCCGAGCCGGGGCCGCACGCGGGAGCGGCCCTCTCCGCTGCAGCGGCCCCCGGGGGCGGCGGGGCAGCAGTCCCAGGCACGCGCGCGGGCCGCCGCTGCCGCCTCGCGGCAGGCCGCGCACCAGCGGCCGCCCTCGCGCAGGGCCGCGCTCACGTTACGTAGGCCACCCAGAGGGGGTTGGAGGGGAGGAGGAGGAGGAGGAGGAGGAGGAGGAGTGAGGAGGAGGAGGGAGGAGGAGGAGGAGGACGGAGGAGGAGAGGAGGAGGGAGGGAGGAGGAGGAGGAGGAGGAGGAGGGGGAGGAGAGGAGGAGGAGGAGGAGGGAGGGGAGAGGAGGAGGGAGGAGTGGGGGGGGAGGAGGGGAGCAGGAGGATGAGGATGGAGGAGAGGAGGAGGAGGAGGAGGACGAGGAGGACGAGGAGATGGGGTCGAAGGATGGCGCCGCATCGCCGATGCATCGGCGATGCGGCTCGATGCGGAGCGCGATTTTCTCAGCGCCGACGTCGCCGATACATCGCCGACGTCGCCGACGCATCGCCGATCCATCGGTGATGCATCGACGATGCGGCGCGGTCCTCCGACCCCATCTACTCCGACTCTACTTGGGAGGCTTCTACAATTGCAGCCGAACGAGGAAGCAGGTCCGCTCCGCGTGGCGCACAGCGATCGGGAGCCCAGCGGCCTGTGTGCTTGGGTTTGTCGCCACTTCGCGCTGAAGGCCGCGCACCAAAGGTCGCTCTTGCTTAGGGCCTCTCCTCGCGTGCAGCCGAACGAGGAGGCAGGTCCGTTCCGCGTGGCGCACCGCGATCGGGAGCCCGCAGACACCCCCGGCTCCTGCCTCTCGCTGCGGCCGTCGCCGCCCCTCCTGCCCCTGGCTCGTCCTCACCTCTCTCCCCGTCCGCCTCGTCCCTCCCCGCCGCTCTGCAGCATCCCCCTCGCCTCTCCTCGTCCCTGCTGCTGCCGCTCCCCCCCGTCCGCGCTGCAACAGCTCCCCCGGCTCGGGCTGGGGTTTCCTGGAGGCGGCCACGAGGAGGAAGAGGAGGAGGAGCAGGAGGAGGAGGCAGAGCAAGAGCAGGAGGAGGAGGAGGAGGAGGAGGAGGAGGAAACGCAGGAGACGCAGGAGACGCAGGAGACGCAGGAGAAGAGGAAGGGGCGGGAAGAGAAGGATGTTCAGGGGGGAAGTGCTCCTCCCCATGTGGCCGTCTTCTCCTTCTCTTCGCTCGTCGCACCGTGTGCGAGCTTGGTGGGGTCCTGCCAGATGCTGCACTTCGGGGTCCTGGTGCAGTTCTCCGCGAGCTTGGTGTAACCATGACTGATGCTGCTCCTCGGGAGCCTGGCGCTGTACTTCGCGAGCCTGGCGAAGCCCTGCCTGGTGCTATGCTTCGGGGGCCTGGCGCTATACCTCGTACCTCGTGAGCCTGGCGGAGTCCTGCCTGATGCTGTACTTCGGGGGCATCTCGCAGTCCTCCGTGAGCCTTGTGGTGTCCTGTCTGATGCTGTTCCTTGGGAGCCTGATGCTTTACTTCACGAGCTTGGCGAAACCCTGTCTGGAGGTGAGCTTCGGGAGCCTGGCGCTGTACTAAGGGCGCCTGGTGGAGTCCGTCCTAAGACCCCTGAGTTGACACGGGTTCGCTCACGGAGTGGGCGAACGGGGTGTTGCGCCAGTGGGGGCGGCGAGTAATTGGCCGCTCGCAGCTGTCTGTTCTCCGCCGCCTGCGCCTAGACCGTTTCGCGGCCGCCGACACGCTGTGCCGCCCGCGGCTGCGGCCGCAGCGCCCTCGCCTGCGAGTGTGACCCCCGGGGGGCTGGCACGCCGCGCCAGATGCTGCAGGCGCGCAGGCGCGCTCACGTTCAGCGCCCCGCTGGAGCGCTGGACCTGCGATCGCCGTGTGCGGCGAGCTACTGGGTGCCAGACCCGTCGGTTCGACTGCACGTGAGAACTGGGGGGAGAATCTGAACGTGAAAACGCGTGGGATTGGACGGATAGCGAGCGCGTGAGATCCGTTCAGTCGCAGTGATGGTATGTTTCCCCTCCCGTTCTGCCCGCGTTCCGCCCGTCCGTTCTCGCCTGCGCCTCCATTGCTGTGAGCTCTGCTCACCCTGGGTCGAGCAATGGCCAGTCGGGGCTCCCCGCCCGCGGGGCCGCCGAGTGGCGTGGCCCGGCGAGGTCATGCTCGCGGTTCCCTCCGTACGGGGGGTCGATCCTCGTGGAATTACGCGCGCCTTGCAGGTCGCGCGCGTTCGGTGCATTCCAATGTGTAGCATTGTCAAGTCTAGCTTCGACATTCGACCCGATGCAGGCCCTGTCCTGTCATGTCTTCCTCCTTTTCCTCCTACCTCCCGCCCCCCCCCCCCCCCTGCCAACTCATGGCCAAGTCGTCTGGTCCATGTCCTTAGAGGTTGTTTCTTTCAGGTGGCAAGGACAGTGCCAGAGCACCAGCCTTCAGTATTGTCTGCCGGGGGATTTCAGTGGCCGCTCCGGGGAGCGCCCAGCTCAACTCCCCTCCCTGGGTGACCTGCTGCGTCGTGGAACCTCCCTTCCCGTCAGTCGGGGAGCTGGTGCCACATGCGATGAGCTGCTTCGGGTCGCGGACGCAGGACCAGCACCGCTCCCCCCCCCTGCTGCTCTCCCCCCCCCCGCCCTTTGCTGCCCCCCACCCCCCCCCGCCTCCTCCTTTCCTGGCCCCCGACGCCCGCCTGCCTGTCTGTTGCTCCGCCTGATGTCAGAGAGGAAGGGGGCCGAGGACCTCCCGCGGCTGGCGTCGCAAGCACGCAGCGTGCGTTCCGTGGCCATTTTGGGCTCAAGGTCTAAGGTTTCTCTTAACCCAGTGGATGCCGCTAGTCCGCGGCTTGCATTCAGCGCTCGGACAGTCAGCCCTGACTTGGATCCTGCGTGGTGGCCTGCCCCAGCCCAGGACTTTCCTTGTTGCGCGCTCGGTGGTCCGCCCCACCGAACGCCCGCCCCCCGCTGCTGCAGGCGAGCAGCTTCCTCTCGTTTCGTTGCTGATGGCCCATGGCAGCGACCAGGGTCACGAATGGAAGCGCGAATCGTGGATCCAGGTCGGGCGAGGCGGTGGCAAGCCTCGTGCGCGGCGTGATCCTCGTGGCACTGCTTGCACTGTCTGCGCTTGTGGCCACTGGGCGTGGAACGACATTCTCGCCGAGCGCAAGTGCGCCGGCTGCCGGGACATTTACGATCCCGTCCGTGAGCCGCGCGCCCAGGCTGCTCAAGCCCCAGCGGTCCGAGGAGGTGACGGCGGTGCCGCGCGCCCACTTATTGCCGCCAAGGGGCTTTGGCGGCGCGGTCAGGCGGCTGCCTGCCTTCCGCCCCGATGCCCTCTTGATGGTCAATGAGATTGCGGGCTCGCTGTCTTCTGCTCAGGCCCAGAAATCACTCGCCCCTTTCACGCCCATGGGTTCCACGGCCAAGGCTCCGCAGTCAACTCAGGCCGCTTGGGATCAGGCCCAGCAGCATCGCAGGGCTGTTGCGGACCGTCCTGGGCGCGCCATGGCACAGCGCGTCGAGTTGGATCGCCAGGTTTCTGAGTTCAACGTTCAGCTCGAGAAGCCCATGGAAGATGACCTCGCGGCCGAGAAGGAGCTCGAGAAGGCCGGCAGGGCCTTGGCAGCAGGAGTTATCAAGGGCGAAATCTCGGCCGCCATCGCTCTTCAAAGGCCGCGCCGACGGGCTCACGCTCGACTTCGGAAACCGGATCGACCTTTCTGGCCCTGCTTTCTTCGGATGAGGATCGCAGCCAGTTCGGGCCCTCTCAGGAAGAGCAGGCCTCGGAGGTCGCAACTCTACTACACATTGCACTCACTTCGGTCAAGGGGCAAGCTAGTGCCTATCTGCAAAAACAACTCAGGCGCACGGGCGAGCTCCGCAAGCGTCGCAAGCTTGGCGACGGTGCTGCGCCGGCCGCCTGCGGGGCCCCACCCGAGCCCGGCTCCGAGCAGCCAGAGTCAGGTGGAGGCGCCCCCCCCCCGCCCCCGCGGGCCAGGCCCTGGCGGCAGGAGGCGGCGCCCGCCCCCCCCCCCAGCCGCGCGGGTAGCCTCTGCCGCTGGAGGAGGGCCCTCCGCGGCGGCGCCGTGGGCGGCAGCGGCGAGCTCGCCCCTGCGGGCGGCGGCTCAGACGGCGCCCGGCAAGCAGGCGCGGGTCGGCGAAGGCGGGGGCGAGTCGCTGACGGAGCTCGCGGTGTCAACGCTGTTCTGCGACGGCCCAGGCCGCCCGTGGGCTTCCTCTGATGCGCCGAGGAGCCCAATGCGCTCTCGCTTGCGCACTCCAATATCTCAGTCTGGAGGCC